CTGGGGTAAAAACACAATCAATTCGTCGGGTGTGAGATCCAAAAACACAATTTTCTTCAAAGTTAAAATGTTACAATCTTATCCAGCCAATAATGCAGTATCACATTAGATATGAAGCAAAATGGAAACAGGGATTTTTTTGTGAGGTGGAGTAGATGGAATAATTCACATTGAACGTTAAAATGCGCAACACACATTGAAAATAACAACACCAAGTACACAGTATACTTTTACATCCATTACTTGCTATTGCTGTATTGAATCAGGATACAGGAAGCAAAGTCCCCACCCAGGGGTTACTATTGGAAACGAGGTTGAAAAGAAAGTAACCCTTGGGGACGAGGTTAAGGGAAAACTTGTTGGCCCGCAATTTTAGAAGCTAAATAAAATAAATCAACCAGGTATACCGTCATAATGTAATTTAGCTGTGCTCCGCCCATGAGCATATTCAAATGAGAGCTTTGCTAGTTGAAGCCGCGCTAGTTGAGCTTGGCAAGTGTAGTATTCAGGATCAGCCTACCAGGGTTTGTCGCATCGCTGGTTAAAATAACACATGCATCATAATGCATGCAGCTGGGAGCTTTCTTAGATGTCTTCTCTTTAAATAACGGGGATACTGTACGGTCCGTACATGTAAGTTCCCCCAGAATCAGGATACTTTTTTGTATTTTTAGAGCCATGTTGATACTTATTACATGTATAAGCACGGTTTGAAATTGACTAATTTTGCGTGGTTACAGATATACGGCCAAAACCTCTGGACTCCCTACCTCTTGCCATGATCTTAAAATTCTTCAAAGCCATTGGATTCAAATTGGATGATCCGAGAATTCATGGTCATTTTGATGAACTGAGTGATAGCATGCACGCATGTTCAGTGTTGCCATGTTGTTTGGAGCGGGATTGGCCATTGCCTGACTTTGTCTGGTACCGCGGTATTAACAGTGATAATGCGTGGACACTTATCCCGTTGTGTGGAGCGGGATTGGAACTATGCTTTGCCCGTGCATAACGGCGGGCCGTCTGGCATTGTCTGGTCGCATCGCGGTGTTTGCTCAGCGCGCGCCTTGACAATGCGAAGGTCGGGGGAGGGGGTCGTAACTTTTTGGTTATGAGTGGTAAAAACCGGATTAAAAAATCAAGTTGTTGTTTATTTAATGGGGATTCCTATGATATTAAGCATTTTGATAGGTTTTGAAAATAAGATTTATAAACATGCTAAAAGTAAATGATGTAAATCTTACAGAATAGAAACTCAAAATTTGGCCATTTAAATTGTTGTATCTCCAAAGGGCAAACATTTATGAGCCTGATTCAAACGCCATTGATTTTGTTGTGTAATTTGCTTTCAGTGATACAAAACTTGAGATTTTTTTTCTTTAAAAAATAAAATTCCCTGGACTTCCTACAAGAGGAAACCCATTGCAAAATGCGTAAGCCAGGCACTCCAAAACTCAGTGAATTCAACTAAAAAGATGTTAAAACTCCAACATAATCTTAGCCTTGTTTTAGTGATTTATATTTTATTACGTGTTTTGATAGCTGGCCTTGGCCTCGGCCTTGGCCTCGGAGGTGGTGGCCTCGGCCTTGGCCTTGGCCTCGCGGTTGTGGCCTCGGCCTTGGCCTTGGAGGTTGTGGCCTCGGCCTTGGCCTCGGAGGTTGTGGCCTCGACTACAACACTGTATGTCACATACCCGATGGAGCCTGTTGGATTGAGCAGTTAACCCCTCATGCATAATGTTGGATTCAGCAGGCAACTGAACCGCATTATAACACCATGTTGGACTCCGTTGGATTCAGCAGACAACTGAAAATGAGGCACAGTGGATTGAACAGGAAAGTCCGGTTGGACTCTGTTGGGTTTTGCAGGGTAGTCCTGAAGAAGTACTAGGGGGTTAGGGTTAATGTGCAGGGGGTTATGGATGCAAATCAACCACCAGTCAACGAGTGGTCCTCAATTGCACTTGTTCCCTGTTGCAGGCTGTTAAGCACTCTCTGCACTTGTGCCCGGTGTCCATTATGGTGAAATCCTAAAGGAAAAACCAAACCGTTACCGGTACTTCGTAAATACTGGGCGTGAAAGCAACCACAAATTATGCAAATTTGTGAATTCGTGGCAAGTATTCATGATTCAAATTTCGCAGCCAATGTTTCCTGTCGTCAAATTCGCATTGTGTTTGCAAGTATAAACCCAGCCTGTCAACCTGAGATCATTTTATTTGCGTCCACTTCTATTACGAATTAAAGCGTGTGAGATTCAAGGTTAAGGAGAGTTGTGAAGAGAGTGTTACGGAGCATGCACCCTACAGTTGACTTAATGTACTTTTCTTTTCCTGAGTGCCTGACATGAGGCATGTTAGGGGGACGGCAGAGAGGAAACATTACTAGGCCCTACTTATGTTTGATGGTAATTGCTAACGAAATGAGGAAAAGGAACAAATTGGTGTGATCCATCATTTCAAACTGTCTGTACAAATCATCAGTACAGTGCGATTATGACAGATTGAAATCAGATACAACTTGAGTTCAATTGTTGCCAGATGGGCAGTCCACATTTCGCAGTTTTTCGGGCTTTGACGGGGCGCGGTCTTAACCGTTTCTGACGTATATATCCGTGTTATCTTAAGGTGGGTGTAGGGTTACAGAATTGAACTTTGTTCAAGTCTGTTGTTCCTGATTGATTTGCAGCATCAGCGGCGCAAAATAGGACGGTCCCAAATTTGAGTCTATTAGCACCCTGCCAATCTTTGTTATCACAGACAGCAGATTCCAAAGTAAGAATAGTCAGCGTTGAAAAAGAAAAAAAAAAGGAAAGTCGCTCCTGCATAATTTCTATAGACACTTTCTAGTAACTGTAGATAGCACTGCAGACCAGCCTGCGCTCCCTAGTTGGTTTGCATATATATGCATAATACTACACTATAGAAAGTGTAGTCGTGTGACTAGTTTTTTTAAGTGCACAAACACAAGCCAGTATCTTAGCCTTAGAGAACCCAACTGAGTAAAGACACATGGTTGAAATTACACTCATGTCTTTCTTCAGAGTAGGAGGCTTTGTCTTTGTTTTTCTGCATGATTCAATTTTTTTTAGCGGCCAAAGGTGGGGATTTTGGCCCAAAACCCCTGCTATCCTGGCTATAGATTCACCACATACACTCAACCCAAAAAGAAAGTCCCCCCCTTAATACTTTTTTTTGTCTCAAAAACTACTGGGCACATCTTGCTCAAATAGCGACTAATCAGTAGAGAAAGTCCTTAGCAAACCAGCCTCACACTTTGTTTGGCCCAAAACAGTGATAATGTGCACAAAATTATGCAATTTATGACAAATGGTACTGAAAAAAAGTTGCATTATTTGTTATAAATTGCATAAATTCATGCACATTATCATTGCTTTGGGCCAAATAAAGAGTATGGCCGGATTGCTAAGGAATTTCTGTACTGATTAGTCGTTATTTGAGCGAGAGGTGCTCAGTAGTTTTTGAGCCAAACAAAAAAGTATTGGAAGGGGGGACTTTCATTTTTGGTTGAGTGTAGTTATAAGTGAGAAAAAAAGTGAAATATTTGGTCGTCACATACAAAAACATGGGCACTGTATGCTCAGGTCAGTGCTTTTTGAAGGCTTCCTCCCCCCCCCCCCGAAAAAAAACCCAAAACTCGGAAACGTACTCTGCTGGAACTTGGACCCACAACCTCCTCCTTACAAGTGCAGATACTTTTTTTTTTACGTATAAGTCAAACTATTAAGTGTTGTGGCTGGAATCATACCGGTACATGTACCTTGACTGCTACATGTATAGTACATGTTCATGTATGCAGTAGGGTACTAAGAAACCTCTGTCATGTCTATGCGAAGGTACTTGTATTAGTTTTTGGTGGGAAGGAGGGGGGGGGGTGGCAATGAGATGGAAGCTAGATGCTAAGTGCAATAACAAAATCATGTCCCAGTCTTTTCAGTTCTTTTGAATTTCAACTATTGCCAAATCACAACCTTTTTTTAACCACAAGTCCTTTCATTAGTTCATGTAAGTCACAATTCCTTTCACAAGTCCAGTCACAAGTAACAGGGTGTGAACAATAACAAAGGAACGTCTCTGTTACAATTTTGCATACATGTAGATTGAGACTGGAGGACTTGTGATGGACTTAATTGTGGGGACTTGTGAGGACTTGTGATGGACTCGACTACAATGTATGACACTTTGTGTGGTCTGCTCATTACAGAGCTGTTAGCCATTAAAATATCTTGCCACCTTTCTAGCAAGGAGAATCCAAGACCTTCTTGACCCTTTTGGAGGAAAAAATAAAGTCAAATTTAACCAAGCTCTGTTGTACAGGTGCTTGACAAAGTCCATATTTATGACTAAACATTTTCCCCGCTCCGCTATGTCTTTTGAGAGTGAGAGAGAAAAAGGCCAAAAAAAACCCCGAGTTGGCTGAAAATAGCATCCTCCCCTCTGAAATTTGGACCACATGTTTGTTTAAGTCGATTAATCAGTTTCTTAAATGTTTGTGACTCGTGAATTGTCGGGCGTCTCTGGGGAACGTCAAAGTTCCACAGTTACATGTAATGTGTAGAGCAGGGCTGGCAACCTGTTGTACTGTGTGGTGGCACTAAGCCATAATGTTTGCAAGAGTTATGTGACTGATGATTAATGTGTGCGCCGTTCTCCTCACCGCACCCATGGGCAAGTTAGTGTAGGTAGTCGCCGTGTACTTTGCAGCCTCTTCCTTGGGTCAAGCGTATACGCAGCCAGAGAGGAAGTGTGCACACTGCAGACACCCCCCCCCCCCTCTCTCTGAGGCTTATGCTGGATGGGAGTAAACGTCGGGGAGTTTGGAGCGACAGACTCGAGGGGCCATCGCTATTAGGTCCATCCTGGGTCAGGAAGACCACAGCTCTGTACTGGAAATCAGACCAGTATCCTGCGAGGAAATTGAACTGTCTACCCGAGTCTTTGAGCAGCTACTGGGCCCCTTTCTCAAGTCACTCAGTGTTCATTGTGTGTTGCCTGCCAGCCTGCTGGGCCCTTTTTCCCCCCTTACCGTCGGCTTGCTTAATTCAGCATCAGGAGATCTCTGCCAAACTCAAGAGAACCCTTGTTTAGAGTCTTCTGACCTCTCTAGGATTGGCCTGTTTGGACGGTCATGTTGTAGTGCCACTTGTGCTCACACACCCCCTCCCCTACTCCGTGTAGTGACCGTGATTCACAGTGGACCATTCGGGACCATTCACAGACCGGCTGTTGTCAAGCTCTGAGGAAGATTGGAAATGATTCATACACCAATCAACTGAGCCGTTACCTTGTGCGACCGGCCGGCCAGTAAGGAGTGAATCGCTACAGCTCCATTTTCCCCACCCCCTCCACATGCTGTTCAATGCTAGGGAGTTACAACTCGCAAGTTCAACCACCGGAGTTTTCATCGACCACATTCAGCGAGAAACCGAAATATTCCTCAGAGGGCGTAAAACTGAATCAGGACTAGTCAGAGAGTGAGAGCAAGCCGGCCTGAGTCGTTGGTGTTCGTAAGTCGTCGCGTGGGCTTCGTGTGACCAGATGCTTCTTGAGTATAGCAGTGGGAGGGTGCATGTACGGAGACTTGCGGGATACTTTGACAGACAGCATCAGGCTGCTAACATGCAGACAAGGCACTGGGGACAATTGTAAGCATAAAATGTCATTTCCTTCATGAGTTCAATACATACATGCATGTGTCACTTCTGGCGATCAATTTTCACAGTTTTGGCAACTGTTCCAAAAGCTGTTTTTAGTTGTAGGCAATAATGCCCGTGCAGGGATTATGTTCCATAGTAAAGATTTAATAGTTTGGAAATTTTGGCCTACCGGTAGTAAGTGTACACATACCTACATTGTACACACTTGTATTGTGGAAACTTTTGTGTGTTTATTTATATTTTTTTGGTTTCAAAAACTTATTGTACAACTGGCATGTGATCCTAAAACTGCAAAACAGGTGGTTGTGTGCAAATTCATGCTATGTTTTATTGGGACCAATTTTTTTTTATACATTGTGGATTGGGGAAAATCAAAGGTACGTGTATACATGTACAACTTGTTCCAAGTTTTCCTAACAAAAGAAATATTCCTAAAATATTCCTGTAATCTTGCCAACGCAACGGTACTTTACAGTGTACATGTACATTGTACATGGCCTACACCGCGTTATGGGGAAGTTTGTTATTGTTAGGCAAATAAGGACCAAGTTATAGGGACTTTCTTCTGTCCCCACAGCGTTTTTGGTCCCCGGAAATACCATACCTTGTACAGACGAGTGTATGTCCCCACAACTACGGAACAAGACTGGGTGAGTTGTCTTACATTCACTATGTGGACATGTGAACAAAAGAGGTCCACATAATGGAGGTTGTGTTGACGTCATGTGGACTAAGCCGTGTCCACATACAGACATAACGTTTCGCCCTCTCTGGAAAACAGGTTTAGAGGCATTTTGGGGTTAGGGTTATCCGTCGAAGAATGAAGAGAAACATTCAAAGAAATTTAAAAAAAAAAAAAAAAAAAAATGGGGGGTTGAAAGAGTTTTCACAGTTTAAGTAAAGTTATTTTATGTACCAAGTATTCTTAACTACAGGAAAACAAAGGAATGTCTACTTAGCGTATGTGAAACAAACGGGTCTGTATTTTATTATTTATTTTTATTTTATTTCTTTTGGTAATGAAACCAAGGACTCCTCAAAAGTACCCTAAGCACTGTAGCTGGAAAGCCTGAAGAACCTGTACACAGAAGACAATGAGAAGAAATTACAGTTTTAGAGGTGGGAGGAAAAGCCCAGAGGAATATTCTGAGGAAAACCCACGGAATCAGGTAGGGACTGAAAACCCAATCCACATATTGGCCCGGGCGGGATTCGAACCCGGGTCACAGCGGTGGAAGGCGAGGAAAGTACCGCTATGCCAACCTGACTCCCCTTGACTGAACTTGCAGGTGTGTGCAATTATGTACAGGTGCATTGTAGTGTTCAGTATAGTTAATTCAGTGAGATATTTGTGCACGACATTGCAGGAGCGTAAGTTGGTCACGAATTAACCGCACTACATGTAGTTGACTAATGGTCCTTGCCTGAACTTGCTCTTAGTTGTGTGACATGTACATGTCCATGTCATGCGTACATGTACATGTCATGCGTACATGTACATGTACGTACACATATTGGTACTGGTATACTGCTTGCAGAGAGTGGACGTCAACTGATTCTCGATTGCCAATCAATTTTGCCTACATGTACTGTAGCTGTTCCATGAAATCAAGGCCTGGGCGTTGTAAGATAATATCACCAATCTTCTGAAACGGAAACTCAAGCTTGCCCTAGAACAGTTCAAGGCGTCATATTTAGAATTTATGTACCCAACGGTTACTAATAGTCCCATTACACATGGGTGCAAATGGGATCTTGAATATTTTCAACGCAAAGTCATTCAATCAATCAGTCAACAGTTGAAATGTAGAGATTTCCTCTGCCAAGTTGCTTGCCTGTCCCAGCAGACCAGCCAGCGTGGCTAGTGCCGTGCTTAGATCTACCCTCTGCCAAACTATGATGGATGCATGTCACAGATCCTGTTTTGATATATTAGTTGGCAGAGAGATAAAACGTATGGATATTATGACTACGTGTATCTTGGGAGATAGAGACATCAACCAGCACTTCCATGTTTATGAATGGAGACCTGTTCACGCACATTTCAGTCGGAAGATTGGTTAACATACCGGGTGCATACAGTACATTCAAAACACATACTGTCCAAACACATACCTGTACCATCATAGTTCATATACGTTTGAGGACTAGGCGTGGTGTTCCTATAATTTATACTTTCTCATCATAGACTAAGCACACACGTACGTTTGAGGACTATCTCAACAAAAGACGTCTGTCTGAGGACAACAATGAATCTCTTGTTCTCTCTTTGTCTTGATATCCTTACACAGTACAATACACACATACTTGTTCATTAGTTGTGGGGACTATAATGAAAACTTTCCCCAAAATGCAGTCACTGCTAAGGCACACATACTGGACCTACATTTTGTACACAATGTAATGTAATGTGACTCGGACTTAACCCAAGTGACTCAAGACTGGGACTTGACCCAAGTGACTCAAGACTCGGACTCGACCCAAGTGACTCAAGACCCGGACTTGGAATCAAGACTCGGACTCGACCCAAGTGACTCAAGACTCGGACTTGACCCAAGTGACTCAAGACTCGGACTCGACCCAAGTGACTCAAGACTCGGACTTGACCTAAGTGACTCAAGACTTGGACTTGAACCAAGTGACTCAAGACTCGGACTTGGAATCAAGACTCGGACTCGACCCAAGTGACTCACGACTCGGACTTGGAATCAAGACTCGGACTCGACCCAAGTGAATCAAGACTCGGACTTGACCCAAGTGACTCAAGACTCGGACTTGACCCAAGTGAATCAAGACTTGGACTTGATCCAAGTGACTCAAGACTCGGACTTGACCCAAGTGAATCAAGACTCAGACTCTGACTCTACTCAAGTGACTCGACTGCAACACTGCTGTATGACAATATATCAGTTTGTCATCAATTGTTATCTTTCACGTACATAGTGGCAGCCACATTTTGGGCTTTACCATTATGATGTACACATCTTTCATACCCGCCCAGTGCCACTTTTTTCCCCTCCAATAGCAGCTGGCAAGAGAACCAAGAAAACTTCAATTGATGCCATTTCCCTTCCCACTTACAGTCATAATTGCATCCGCTGATAAGTCATAAAGAAGAAATTTCAAAGATGGCCGATGTTACAGGCTGTGTTGACATTATCATGCGCGTACTGGTAGGATCCGCCCCTGTAATGTCAAAGTGTATTGGGATTTTGTGTTTTAAAGACACTGCAGAGGTGCTCAAGAGAGAAAACAGATGTAACACATGCACCTGTCCACGCCCTCCGATAAAGTGTTCATCAATTATTATGTGCATGCATGGTGTATCGGTGAATCAGATGTGTGTCTATGTAGAAGATGATTTGGCCCCCAAAAAGTTATCACTTTGTGAACAGTTAGTGACACTAGTACGGTATGTACCACACTCTCCATGCAAACTTGACACGAACATGTCTGCCATACTTGTTTATTCAGGACGTCATCAAATTGGAAAAGGGATATTTTTGTTCAGATACAGTGGGGGATACAATTAAAATCTGAAGGTAAAGCATCACAATTGAGCTCTTACTGACCTGCTCTTCAAAAGGATTTCTAAATGTTGGAAAAAGAACATGAACAACTTTGGGACTGATCAACCTTTCCACAGCTCAGGCCCGCTGGGATTCAAAGCTGTAACACGGAGATGTATTTGTTGTTTTGCAGACTGCTATACTTCATCCAGTCAAAAACATTTAATCCATGATTTCTTTTTCCATTTTTCCAACCTTTGCAGATCTGGCGGAATGGCCTCAGTGACCGAAGTCAGCAGTGATCTGGAGGAGGAAGCATCCATCACAAGTCTCAATGTGGTATGGTTTGATTCTCTTTATAGAGTTCCTCCCTCGTTTATTTGCCATTTTGTTTATTTATTAAAATTTTATCTTGGGTAGCTCAATCAGTAGCTAGTATTCCCTCACATCCCAGCTAAGAAAAGATAAGGTTCAAATGCTAAACCTACAGGGGCCGGGCGACACCCTAGTGTATTTTTTCCAGTATCTTTGCCACGTGATTTTATTTGGCACCATGCAATTTTGTTCAGTATAGGATAACTTCTTGTATTGACACAATTTTCATAAAAGTATTGGTACAAAATTTCAAATTTTGGAAGCAGGGTACCAAAATATCTTTTGGTTTTTTTCATTGAGTGCTGAGTATGAACAGGAAAATACACTCCTTTCAAGACAAAGGCATAAAAATACTTTGTGTGATTTAGCCTAAACCTTGCATACATTTGTATATTTACTGAGTGTGGATATCTCTACTTGTTGAAGAAAATTTGAAGAAAATAAGATATTACATGTCCCAGATTGGTGGGCAGAACCCATCCCTTGGCTGCATGATGGTGAAACCCTGGCTCTTTTAGGTTTAAAGAAGAGCATGTTTGTAGGAAACTTTAGAAAGCCACAATTAATGAGGATTAACTTGACAGACAAGACCTTGTTTGTTTAAATGAATCCCACCTGTCAGGGCCAGACGTTACCTGGAGTTGGCTAATCCACAATTAGGACCCATCCTGTAATAAGATCAGTGTTGTACAGGGCTACTGTCTTGTTCTTGGTCCTAGTGTTTGGAGGTTATACTAGGGTGGGGAGCTGTGGTGTATTTTTGGGGTCAAACGTTCTCCTGTTTGTAAGTAGCCCACTTCCATACGCTGTAATTGTCGTACACGTTTGACCCTGTATTGTCTTGTCTTTTGTCTGCGAGTTGTAATTTCTTTTGACTCCTACATAAAAGTAGAATGGTTGCATGACGCTTTGGACCAGTGGGAGGGTCGTCACCGCGTTATGGGAAAAGTTTTTATTGTTAGGCAAATTAGGACCGAGTTATGGGGACTTTCTGCTGTCCCCACAGTGTCTTCGGTCCCCATAGTACCATGGGACAACTTACAGGTATGTATAGTCCCACAACTACGGATCTTAAGTGTGGTCTTGTGTGGTGTGTCAGACTTTTAAGTTCTTGTGGATAGTTGGTAATGTTGTACATGGACATGTGTATGTATGTACGTTTGAGTTCGGTTCTTGGAATCGTGATGTGTGCTTCTATGATGAGCAGGACTCTGTACTTGAATTGTTTACCCCAGTACTCTGTAACTTCATAAATTTATACATATAAAATTCCTTCTTTCCAGTTTCTCTGTCATTCATTGGTTCATTCATTCATGCTTTTTTTCCTCTTCACACAATACAATATACATGTAATGGACACCATCAAAGAACTTTAGAACATTTTCAAAGATGACATCAGTTGGTTTATATAGCCCAATAATAATTCTTGTGATTACATGGAGTAATATTTTCAGCAAAAATACATTTCAGAAAATGAATCACTTTCACATGTATGGCATGTACATTTTAAATGAACATTAGATTTTGATTTAAAAGGATACATAAATTTATAATATTTAGGTTTTGGTACTATTTTCCCCCTTTTTGTTTCTTTCTGTACTTGTAATTTTTTTTTTTGGAGGGGGATTATGTACATGTATGTTTCCCCCAGAGTTGGAGAATATCACAAAATAAAGGAAAGGGAAGAATTCATAATGTACATATATACATGCTTTGGTCGCACATCCATATGAACATGTGCAATGCATGGTAAACTTTGGCTTCCCTTTTACGGCTGCCAGTTTGTCAGTTTCCAAGGTATCCCGACCAGTCCGATATTGAGAGAGAGACAGAGAGAGGAATGCCCGTATCCTGCGTTCATATTGATAGCTTCCTGTATGTTAAGGCCCAGTGCAACTGTTTGGAAATCAGATTTGTATGCTTCATTGCTGAGTTTATATCTGGCTATCCTGCCTGTGTGGCCACCAACTACTGGGCTTGAAGTATAGGAGCTGTGTCATTGAGAATGGTAATTTGATTTTTGATGCTTGCCTACTCACATACGGTACATGTATGTACTATTCGTAAGATGGAATTTGCATCTTACATGTACATGTATGAATACCGGTAGTTTCATTGCGGTACCCGCTGCTACATGTACATGAGATTTGAACCAGACAACCGATCCCGGCAAGTTTGGTGTTCGAGTGGTAAGATGTCTGCAATAGAAAGCAGGAGGTCGTGGGTTCGAGTCCCACCCGAGTAATTTTTTTTTTCACTTTCACTTGAGGGTATACACACTGAGTACAGCACATGTTTTGCGTTGATGAAGGGCAAAACCTAAATTGAATTTACATACATGTACATAAAAATATGTTACAGCTTTGGGCATACATGACAATGTAAATGCCCTAAACCATTGTAAACAGATAAACTCTAATGACACGTACCGGTCCATGCATGTACCGTACATGTATGTTCCTGTACATGTATATGAACAAAGTATAGGCCTACTTGTACATTGTACATGTACAAAATGTACACATGAAAACATGTATGCACCTTTAATGTTTGACTGATCTTCTACTCAATCATGTTGTGTCAATGACAAACAAGTTAGCAGTACACACAGGATATGGAAACACATGTCTACATGAAATACACCATGCATAAGTATAACTCACAAGCAAATCGTTGCAATGAACATGTACAGTGTAGGTTGAAATATTATTTCAACCATCATGTACCGGTGCATATATAGGTCAGTGAGCAAAGGAAATATATTTCCTTTCCAATTTCTCCAGTCCATCACTTCCAAATGTGCAAGGCAACTTCTTTTCCTTTTTCTTCGTTTTACAAAAATCCACCTTTCCAGCAAAGGGGAAGAGTATCGGAAAGCCCATATAATCCGAGCCAATAGATTTGTGATTCTGGACAGATGGCACCAATCTAATTCCTCCTGGTCCTATCCGTAGGGATCTCGGTCAGCGTATTTTTGCCGTTCCGTAATTGATTGGTGACTCACGCTGTCGTAGATTTGAAGCGGAGTGCACTAACTCAGAGGAGGAAGGTGTGAAGAAGAGGTTCTCTTGCAGTTGGCCCATTCTCAGAATTTGGTATCCCTTTTTTTTCCTGCCCCTATTGCGTCCGACATCTATGATTTTTCAGTTCTCATGCACCCCTTAACCCTAAAGGGGGGGGGGGGGATCATTGAAGTTCATTTCATAATTGCGGTGAAAGCGAAGCGAATTTCATGACATCAGCAGTTGAAGTTTTTGTTGTGACATTCGCCATTACCTTAAAGGGAATGTACAACATTTGCTTTTTCTGCAATTTTCAGAAATAAATGGATTTGGAGGATTAGTATGTTATAGCAAATATTGTTAAAATGACTTGTTTCACGATTTGGGCTTGTAGATGCTGGAAAAACCAAGAAAACCAATCACGTTCTTGTAGTCTGGTTCCCTGACCCCACTTAAGATGAAACAGAGCAATTTATAAACTTTGTGGAATTGTAACGTCAGAGAATCAGTCTAGCAGGCTTGTACCCCTTCACAGGTGTGTAATCAATTGCAAAGAAAACGCGAAATAACTTATTATGAAAAATTATGAGCACTTTTTGAAAAAAGCCAGTTTTCTCCAACGCTGGTCGGACGACCAGCTTTGGAAAAATCCCATTTTTTCTTGAAAATGACAGCACACCAGGAGCCACGATTTTACAGAATATTTTTAGACTGTCATTCCCTAACAATCCAGTAGGTATTTTGTGATAATTTGATCATTTCGTTTTGAGATGTTTGCAAATGTTGTATCTTCCCTTTAACAAATTCGCTTCACACTTGAATAGCAAATTATTACAAAGCACTTACATGTACATGCACGAATGTTACAGGGAGAGGAAAAATGTTACACTTTGGACCCTCAATTTGTAGAATGACCCAAATTAGCAGCTTTTCACCTTGTTTGAATTTGTGGGATCGAAAGGGTGCTAATACAAAGGCAGCCTTGTTTTTTAAATTGTTAAGTGCTGCGAATTTCGACAACGTGTCAATGTGCTTGTGAGTTGAATTGGGACTTTGATGACTTGTGGCAACATGTGGTGGTCTTGTGAGGACATACATGTATGAGGTCTTGTGATGGACTTCCAAGGACTTGTGAGGACTTGTCATGCTTGTGGTGGACTTGTGAGGACTTGTGAGGACTTATGGGGACTTATGAGGACATGAGAGGACATGTGGTAGACTTGTGAGGACTTGTGAGGACTTGTGATGGACTTGTGAAAGACCAACTGTGATGGACTTGTTATGGACCTTTGAGGACATGTGGTGGACTTATGAGGACTTGTGATGGACCTGTGATGGACTTGTGAGGACTTGTGATAGACTGGACTACCAACACTGAGACCCCATTACATGTACCGTAACTTGCTAAATCCATCCTAATGGAACAATCTAGCAATTGCAGAACCTCACCGATGCAGAGAGAGTCGATCCGTCCATTTATCATGTCACTCATGTCTGATGACGGAGTGGTTGCGTGTGAGTAACCTGAGACTGTCGGCAGTGAAAGCTCCGATCAACAAACTGGCCAGAGTGGTCACTGATAGAAACTTGAATTTCTTTGGTCAGATCCTCCTGCGTGTCAAAACGCAAGTGATTAAAACAAAGAGATACAAGTTGTGGTTTTATGCAAATTGTCACTCTGATGAGTAATTCTCAAGTTTAGGCTTACATGGCTTACAACTTTCACATTTAAACCCCCCCCCAAAAAGAAGTACCGAACAATGTATGTATGTATTCACCAGTTTCACCTTCACCTTTTTTTTTCTCTCAGGTATTAACAACTCCTCCATGTTTTCATGTTGTCACTGTTCAGAGGATGTGATTTCTTGACAAAATGATTATCTTTCCTTGTGGAACTTTAACATAAACAAATATGTTCCAAGGACCACATAAAGGCGCTCAACTCCATTTTTATGTCCACTCCATGAAACATTCATGAGGCCATGTTACCCTGGAAGTGACACCAGGATTTATCAAAGATCTTCTGGGTTTTTCTTTTCAGAACCAGAGTGGAAATAGCAGCACCACTCTGTCGACCGCCTCCACGGTTGCACTCAGCGTTGCATTAACTGGATTAAATGTTCCCTCCACTGGTAAGTCATGGGCATGCAGATCGCGTGACTGACATTATCATGCCGAAGTGACACTCCAGTGTCCACTAATATACACCTCAAACGGCACAAATTCGGGCAAGTCCAGGGTAGTGTTTTTTTAGCAGAGTCAGTTTAGCGTGCCCACAAATTAAGCCAATGAAGTTTGTAAAGGTTAAGTCATCGCCGCGTCACAGCTGATTAAAAGTAATTACGTGCATCTGTCTACACTCGCTTCTTTTTCAAGGTCTTTTGAGAGAAAACTTTTGGAAAAAGTAAAAATTAATTGGTTGACTTCTGACTGACGTGTCAGTCAGAAGTCAACTGCCTCCGAATTAATTGGCTTCGTCTGGCGATATCGCATCCACCGGTGGAAGTGGCTAAAGTGACTTCTCATAGACACGTGTGTTATTGCTAGCCGTAGCCAGTTCATTTAGACACAATGTGAATGTGTTTGAAATGGAAACATAATTTAGGTAAAAGAGTTGACTTTTCTTATTGAGAGGGTATGAATGATGCACTGCTGGGGAGTACTTGTACATGTTGTAAAAAGTCAAGTTTACTCTGTATATTGCATGTGCACAAAGGCTGGTCCAGCTTTTGCTTTAGTGGGAGGGGGATGCTGTCGGGGGGGGGGGGGGGGGGGGGAGTTAGCAGATGTGTTCCACTTTTTTCTGCATGATTGTCCTATTTTTTTTGCAGCCCAAAGAGGGAAGGGGGTGTGTTTGACCCCATACCCCCACCCGGAGATCCGCCAATGATGCATGTGCTTGTTTTACATGTACCGGTGCATGTACATGTACCTAATAAACTGTAGACCCACAGCACATGTTGTTCATGTCATATTTTTGATTGATTAAAGAATAGAAGAAACTCAACTACCTAACATAGTACGTTTAAAATATTAACCTGCTGAAAGTTTCAGCTCAGTTACTACACTTTCAAGAACAAAAACTTGAAAACTGTCAATATTTGAGATGGAAATCACTCCCATGAGCTTTGGTTTGGCAGGCAAGTTTCTGTGAAATCACAACTGATCCTGTGGGCCACTCAAGTCACTAAAGAAGGAACAAAGTTGTAACTTAAGGGATGTGGGAACATGCAGAGGATTATGCATCATGTGACTCATCTGTGCGTGTCCGCGGTATTACACACACACAGGCACACCCCCACACAAACGGTCACACACTAACGCTGTCAGTGTGGTGACATCTTTAGTACCCTCACAATTCCCACCGACAGGTTATTAATGTATGCATCCTGTGTACCGAGCAGATGGGGAAATAAGGAAGGGGTCACGTCACCGTTCTCGGGATCACGCTCACAGTAGGCTCGTTCCAGCAATCCGCCCCCCCCCCCCATGGTTTCTCCTTACCCTTACCGGCTGTTAGTGAGCTCTAAATCACCAGCTTGTGCTGGGTACCGAGTGCGTATATGCACAGACTGCCGGTTCATGGCCACAATGTTACCCTGCCCGCTATCGCAGCGTTTGACAAATTCAGTCGAGATGTCTTGCCTGATTTGAAAGACAGGCTGGGGGTCCCTAGCTACAAGACGCTGCCAGCTGCAAGATCCTGGCACAGACGCAGACTGCCTGTACTGTCGTCGCCGTTGCCTTATCACGCCCCCTATCGCTTTGGGGAGCGTTCCCTGCCATCCCAATGTTGGCGTCTTACAAGCACCACCATGAGGAATGCCAATCTCTTCCCCTTCATCTTTTCAGATGTGGCTGGGGGATCGTCTTTAGCTCCTGTCTCCCCTTCCTTCAAGAATAACCGGGGATCAACTACCCCCTCCTACGATGGAGATCTGGATATTGTGGTAAGTCCGACCTTTCATTGGTTAACTACTAACAATAACTTCTCATGACTGCACATGATTAACTGCTCATCTTTTCATGATACTAACCATGTGGCCCTTGCAATCATTCCTTCATCAGACCGGGGAACACTACATGCTGCCCCCTTCCCAACCATCAAGATTTTTATCAACTTCCGTTTTGCATCTAGTTAATTTCTCATTAATAAAAACAAAACTGCGTCATCTACTGACTGTAACCTGATGCATCCTCGTCTTGTACCATTCAAGACTTGAAAATGTTTAATTTGAGAGTCATTTCTGAATTTGTTGATGACAAATGTCAGGCTTCATTTTGTGGTCACTTCTTTGATGTATCCCTGAGGTTCTTGCTCATTGGTGATCCTGTGTGAAGGAAATTGCTCTTTCATTATTCATTTTGGCAAACAAGTGTCACAAAAGGGGGACTCCAGTACAGTATCTTCAATAATATACACTGTATTGCTAACAGTTTTAAGGTTTCTCAATAGGACTGATGAGTTTGTGGTGGTTAAGTTTTTGAAATAATACAAGTATACATACATATAAAATGCACTCTTCGCAGATATGACATCAGTGTTTTGCTCATGAATAGGGAAATTCAAAATGAAATTTGAAATTAAGTTTGTGTTTATTGTGTTTACCAGCGGGGAAAAAAAAGGAAATTTATTTGCTAATCAGAGCAAGTACATGCATTACTAATCAACTGATCAATGACAACTGGCCAGTTTGCCCAAGTACACTAAGTAAATCTCCAGTACTTTCTGAAGATGAGTTGGACAACTCACGACCATTAATTGTTGGGCACAATATTTATATTCCTGCCGTAAATCGCCATTTCCGCTGGCATCCCGTTGATCATCGCAATCTCAAATCCTCTAAATCCGAACAGTCACCAGCAGGTCTTATTCATGTAAGGCCTGCATTTCCTGCCTCAAAGCCGTCTAAATCTTTTGCGGATACCATTAAAGAAAAAGGGGAAAACTAATAAAAGGAAAAAGGAACTTTAAAGGAATAAAGAAAATCCTTATTTATATGAGGACTAATGATCAGTACTCGCTGCTTATATACGTAATCTACAAAGACATTGTTCCAACCTTGAAATGTCCAAAAGATACATCGTGTCGATTATCTCTTTGACAAAATTTCTCTTAGTTCTGTCGGATATAATTTACAATTTACGCATTAGTGGCAAATTTCTGTGTGGAAGTTATACATTACAATCAAACCTATAGCAAATATGTGCTGCAATCTAACAAGCAAAATCAAAACTTGGAGATTGTGACTGCCAGCTTTCTTTTCATAACAATAACATATTTTTAAAGCACATGCAACTGTTTTTCTTTTTATGCCATAAAAGCCAATAACCATACCTCTGTTTCCATGCAAATAATAGTCTGATAGCCTTAACGGCTTAATGCTTGAAACCTGATATGGAAGCTTAGGAGCTAGACACTAATGCTCACCACCTTGTTTTCTACTATACAAGCCAAGAATCATGTCTTAGACCCTGTCCCATAACTTGGCTATGACAGGGAGTAACACACGAGTCTATGAGGAGTGGCTGAGCAGCCGCTTCCATAGGTGCATGTGTCATTGCCAGCCATAGCCAAGGAATTCGGACAGGGCTTACAAGCCAATAATCATGCTATGGCTGTGTCCGAATGACTTCGCTATAACTGGAAATAACACACAGGACTATGGGAAGTGGCTGCAGCCACTTCCATTGGTGCATATGTCATTGCCAGCCATAGCCAAGGAATTGGACAGGGCTCACAAGCCAATGATCATGCTATGGCTGTGTACGAATGACTTGGCTATGGCTGGAAATAACACACAGGGCTATGGGAAGTGGCTGCAGCCACTTCCATAGGTGCGTGTGTAATTTCCAGCCATAGCCAAGTCATTCGGAAATGGCCTTCTTGATAGCCTTAACAGCATTATATATGTACTTCCAAATAAGTAGAGAAGCTTAGGAACCAGACACTAATGCTTGCATCATAATGTCAGTCGGGTACCTTGACTTCAGCGATATTTTTGCTCATTGCTTCATCACATGGCAATCTCATTCTCATTGATTTGGCTTCTTTCACTGCCTCTCTGCCTGCCCTGCCACCATACTCACCCCATCCATCTGCAGCCACGCCCTAAACTAACCACCAAGCATCGCTACAGTGATCTCAACAGGTCCAAGAGTGTAGACAGCTCGGACAGTAGTGAGGTAGGACCACTCTGCAATCTGTCCTGGGTTCGAATCCTGGATTGACTTGATGGATAGAGGGTGGAGGGTTTTTTTGGGGGGGGGGAGGGGAGGGTTGGATTTGATGTAAAGTTTGAAAAACAAAGGTCATTTCTTACCACTGTTACATGTACTGGTATACAGTCTTTACAAACAGTTTGTTGTGAGAGCTGATGAAAATAAAGCCCAAAATTCACAGGCTTACTCAGGAGAGATTCAAACCATGGCCTCCTGCTTGGAGGTGCAGGTGCCTTAGCAAGGCTGAAGCCTGAAGGAGAAAACAGAAATTGATTTGAATATAAAAATAAAAATTTACTTCAGTCTGATTGTTTAGGCCTATACCGGTATGTTCACCTCAATTAGTCTCTTGATTTTTTACAGCTGCACAAGTATTAAGCCAAGAGTTTGGCACATCATGATATACTATGGTAGCATCTAAATTTTAAAAATTGCTTGTAAACATTAAACCAAAACCTAATTCATCAATGTACGTGTATCATCATAAGGTCCAGTACCTACTCTGTCCTTTTTCCCCCAAATTTTTCGGAACAAGCTAGTTCATGAGCTTCTTTTGTCTTAACCAATAATTTGGAATCTGGCATTCTGCAAACTAATCCACAGTTTTGGAATGTAGTCAAGTCCATCACAAGTCCAGTCACAAGAACATGTCAAATCACTTCACAAGTAACAGGGGATGAACAGTAACAAAGGAGTGCCTTTGTCACAGGTGTGACTTGAGTCTTGGTGACTTGTGTTTGACTTGTGAAGACTTTGTAGGACGTGTGAGGACTTGTGATGGACCCGACAACATTTTTGTACACCACTGCTAATCCATACCCACAGCTGTGACTTGAGTCTTGGTGACTTGTGTTTGACTTGTGAGGACTTTGTAGGACGTGTGAGGACTTGTGATTGACCTGACTACGTTTTTGTTCACCACTGCTAATCCATACCCACAGCTGTGACTTGAGTCTTGGTGACTTGTGTTTGACTTGTGAGGACTTTGTAGGACGTGTGAGGACTTGTGATTGACCTGACTACATTTTTGTACACCACTACTAATCCAAACCCACACGCAACCAACAAGTGTGAATTTAGAAGACAAGTTAACATGAAGTGCAAACAGGCTTTTGCTAACACATGACATAACAGTTGCCTACTGCAGGCTGATGCAGCCAGCAGTATTAGCATCCCTAACTCTTCATGTACATGTTAAACCCCTTGGCTTGTTGCCTTCCTGAATTATCACAAAACCCAGCATTGTGCAGGAATCCGATGGAACTTTCATATTGATACCTTCAGGAGACGTCAAGTGACATGTACTTGTGTAGCTGGTGGATTTTGAAGGACAATGGAGAGTTTAGGGTTGAAATGTGCTCTGAATTCGTTGAAACTTGCCACACGCGTTGGCACTGTCTTGATTCAAACTTATAATATGCAGGTCTGTATTTTTTCGACACCCGTGTAGAGCAAAGTTTTGGGAAATGGCCATGGATGGTTTATAACCTCAAAAGAGTGCCCTGTACTCTTGGTATTGGGAACAAAATTAAATTATGGTCTGGAATTCAGACTAGGTTTACCAACACTCCATAGGAACTGGTAGGGTATACCATGGGGCTCCGGGGCTGGGGTGACCTTTCTAAAGTCTGACAAATCAACTGGGTGTGTCCTGGGCTGGCCTCGCTCTTAAAACGCTGGCCAGCATGTGAGCATGATGTCTTATTTAGCAGCGCGCGAGGTTCAGCCTCACGGGGAGTAAATGTCTTGGTGGAATGATAGATTGAATGTGAAGTGTGATGGATTTTTTAAGGAAAGACACGAAGGGAGACCAGATGTCATTGTCAGTCAAATCTCTCTGTCTTGAAGGTTGACGCGTATCGCTTTGGTCAGAACACTAGCATGTTTGTTCGATTCACCTTCACAGTTTGACTTTTTAGTGGGGAGGGGGGGACTTGCAAGTAACTGTTAGGCATGATCGGCAGATTTGCACTGTGGTGCGACGGCGCTGCACTATCGGTGGAGCACACTGCATTATCTATTGATCATGCCATGTCGGTCGATCGCACTGCCTTCGGTCAATCATATTTGCTTTCTATATTACGGCTCATGAGGAAAGTTTTCAAAAAGGGAAGTTACGTCACAACCAACCACTAAATGGACCTCACCCAAACTTATTCTGTGGTGTACGGTACATAAACATGTGTACGTACCGGTATCTGCAAAACTTTTTCCAAGCTGTACCATGTGTACTGCCAAGTCTCCATCAACTTGCAGTATATAACATAAAAACCTGGCTTACATGTAGATCTAACACCCAAAATTGTCTACTCTGTCTTTTACCCTTTGTCACGCTTTGTGGCATACATTCACTGTTGTTTTCGTCATCCAGCACATGTGCATGTACCAAGGGACCGTAATAAACCTTGGAACTCAATCAAGAAAGACATCAGGAATCCTGTCCTGATGGTGTCCGCTCATTTGTATTCATTAACACCTTGGGCCCAGCAGGCCTGCACATTGTAACAAATGGCGACAGTGTTCCGACGAGCTTTGTTATTTAATTACCTGACGGAATGGCTAGTGTCCCTTAGCTTACTGCATAACACACTTACCCTGTACACCTGTACACACCTGTACACACCTGTACACACCTGTCAGAGTTCACCTTCTGAAAATTATTATTATTTTTTTTTAAGTCTTCTGATCTTGAGTTAAGGGTACTTTTAAAAGAGCGCACTGTAGCTCAGAAGCCAAAAAGAAACCCCAGCATCAGATAAGACAAAAAGCAAGGAAATGTAAGGTTTCTGAGGAAAAGCCAGGGAATTGGATTAGGACTGAAAGCCAAATCCACATATCAGCCAGGGCATGCAGGGCAAGATTGGAACCCAGCACCAGAATTGGACAGCAAGGATAACATACATACTGTCTTGACTGCACCAACTTGATTCATAAAACGTTTGGGTCTGATCTTAGAATAACAAACTGATTCTTTAGACTGAGGCATTTAAACACTCTTTAATGACTTCAAATAAAGTACAGAGGGAAACTGACTAGGTTTGTTATTATAATTTTCAAACTTGAACAAAAAATTGATTGGAGTGGGGTTTGAACCTGCGACCTCTGATTGCCGTTGTTGAGGGTCCCTAATTCGTCAATGTGTTTGTTCAAGGGGCACTAGTCAGAAGACATAAACCCTTGAACAAAGACATTGACGAATTGGGGACTCCCAACAAAGGGGGGATAGCTCAGTTGGTAGAGCACTGGAACGGTTATCCGGAGGTCACAGGTTCAAACCCCACTCCAGTCACTTTCTTTGTTCAACTTTGAAAATTACTCTTCAATATTGTAACATGTTATGTAGTAACAGGCAAATGCTATTAGTAGGGGACTATTATATCATTGCTTCTTCCTTTAGCTTTTGATTTATTCTCTTAAAAAAATTGCCACCTCTGAAAATAATAGAGGGAGTGCACACTTCATGAAATTTTCTTGAGAAGGTGAAACAAAAAAATATAAAATCTCATAAACAAACAAATTCAAGTGGAGCACGGTGCAATTCAAATGGAAGTACATGTAGTGTGTTCGATGATCAGTGCCTTGAGCCCCATTATGAGAAATGTACAACTGTTTGACATTGGAGGCCGGTCAACCACACTGGATTACATCACACCTCACTGGTACAGTTTCCTTGAGAAAAACATTCAATAAACATGGCAACATCTAGTCTGAGGTGCTCTATTTTAAGGTGGGCCTGCCTAATTTCTGAAACCACGACAGGAAGGCCATAATTTACGAAATTACAGAATTGTTTACATACACACCTCTCAGATGTTTTTTAAAGTCAGGTTTGAGTGTGATACCCAAATAAAAAAACAGAAAATGTATCGTCAAAAGCAGCTGAGAGCAAGTAGCGTGCAAGAACCACTGTGACCTTGGCATGTCCCAAGGGAGCTAAATTGCTTTTCCCTTGGGAGGAAATTGGTAGGGTTCCGGCAAGCTCAGCACAGGGACTTAAAACTTCAATCTTTACCCCCTGGACTTCCACTGCTAAGGCCATGGGTGCACCCTGAAACGGAAGGATTTCAAACCTCAGTGATAGCAGTACAGGATCTAAAGCAAATACCGCTTTATGAAAATAAAAACTGAAAAAGTACAATATCCAAAGGGCAAGTGGACAAGTGCCTTGTTTAAAAACTTTATGCAATGTAGGTCTTGCTGTTTTACAAACTGTAGGCTTTATTAATGTTGCAACTAACACAAACAGCGGACTGAAATTTGCATGTATGGATCCATACATGTATAGGTTGCCTTTTGGGCAGTAATTCCCTATCGCTATCGAAGACGAAGACTGATTTCTCAGTCAATGAAAAAGAAATGTTTCGAATGTCAGTGGGGAAATTTCAGAATGACAAACAGGATACATGGAAGACCAGAACCAATTTCACGTTTTATGATGCTTGCGAAAGTTGCAGTTTTCACCACATAACGGTAGCTAAAGAGCTCACTGTATACACTCTATCTAGCCGTATTGCAGCACCGATGTGGTAGTATTATCGTGCAGACCTTTATGAACAATCTGAACAGCAACTTCACAGATTTGATTTTTTGGCTTACCGGGTACCCGTATTTTTTTTCCAATAGGGGACCCGGTTCCTGTACTACTCGTAAATGCACACCGCTACAACTTCCATGAAATGTTTTGATTGTCCCACCCACAACCCTGCAGAAAGCGCTTTTTATCTAATTTATGTTATTAAAATCACCTTGTAGCTTTACCCCAGAGAACCTTACATTACTCCAGTGGGAGCTGGGTTATGACATGTAGGGAAAACACCCAAGATGAATGAAATATTGGAAGTCAACATGACTAGGCATTTTTCGTGTCATCGTCAAAATTCAATTCACTAGCGTATTGCTAAACTCTCCATGTAACTTTGTTTGGAATTGACACGTTGAGACACTTGTATCTGTCTCCTAGAAATGTACTTTCTAAGTTGTTTAGAGTGCCGGCATTCCTTGGTGGAAGTCGCTCAATTAGTGGGTTTGCGTAAGCCTGATTTAATTGGGAAAATCAATTTAAAAAGTACACCCCTTTTTATGCCTGATGTCCACATTGCGGTTTTAGCTAAAAGTGTGAGCAGCTGTGGCCGTTTTTCTCCTATCCTACGTCTCACACGATAGGACACCATTTAACCCAGCGAACAAGATTATTAAGTCTTCAGGCCTTTGCTACAAAGCCCCTTCTAAGTGAAACCATATGTTTGGAGTTTCAGCTCCGTTGAGTTTTAAAGGAACAAACATAGTAAGGTTGCCTCATTTAGAAATGGCGGAACCGCAAGTCAGCTGCGATTCATTGAAAATGAGCTGATGGGTTAATTTTGATCTATTTCTGGGATTACTGGAGTTGTCAAGTTTTCCCAAGCGCACTCTCCATGTGGTTTCGATTTTTACACCATGATGCTATCATCGTGATGATATTTAATAGGTTTATAGGATTTTGGCAAACCACGCTTCCACCATTGTAGATGCCAATACTACATAACATGCTTGTGCACAATCAAGACAAAAGTCAATATTCCAAAATCTGCTGAAAAGCACTCGCAAAAAGAATCCTGATCAGTTCTTTTTTACAAAGATGCTGATTAGAGTTGAAAAGAAAAGAAAAACATGAAAAATGACAAGAATATAAATTAATAAATCTGCTAGGATCAAAACTTCAACTTATAATAATTTTAAAAAGTGATAATGTCCGTTTGGCAGATTTCAGCAACTCTGACAAAGAAGACCATCATGTCATGGAAAAACGATACTTCTGGGACTCCAGACTCTCCCCATTCCCCTAGAGATCTCAGAATAGTCCGAATCACTGCCGCACTGTCGCCACCGGTCTTCCTCCTAAAAACTCTCCCCAACGTTGTTTCTCAAAAAGAAGACGAACCAAATAAAAAAAGCGGTTAATTATATCGCTCTTTTGGGAGAGGAAGTGCGGCAACTTAATTTGTTGTGACATATTTTGATCTCTTTGGCAATGCAGCGTAACGAAAGGGGGAAGAAGTAAAAAGTGCAAATCACTCTCAAGTGTGTTATGTAAATGATCAAGCTTCTCTTGTTACTTTAGAAGGGGAAAAACTTAAGGTTACAAGGAAACTACTAAGCTGTAAAAACGTTCCACTGTTGATTGATTTAGAGTTTCTGGCACTTGGGACTGGAAATATATTGAGTCAAAAACTTTTATAACAGCCTCTGTCATTCGTTCTCTCGTGTCCTTGTTAGGGCAAAACTCATTATATAAGGTAGATGAAACACAATCCCTTCAATTCATTATATGTGATGCGATCAAGCTACATGAGTCTTTGTCGACCCTGGTCAATTTTTATTTTTTTACAGATTTGAAAAGAGCACAATCTCAGCATTACTGCTGCAATAACCGCATGCTGGTACCATCTTTAGTTAAAAAATGATGGAAGTTGGAACACCAAGAGATGTCATGAAGTGCTGTGATGAAATGATCTTATTTTGGCCTGTATCTCCAAATAAAAATTCCCGACAAACGACTCATTTAGCTTGATAGCATCAGATATCCTCAAATTTCCACAGGAATTTTGAATGTTTAATTTTGTTGTTGTTGTTGAAAAAATTGAGTATTTGGATGGACTATAAAATGTGGGTGTCAGCTTTCATTTCATGGCATGCTGAAATGGCAAACTGAAGCTTCATGGGCTTGTAAATACTGAGAAGTGTGACGTCATTTAGAACCAGAAAGTTTAGTGCAAACGAATGGAGTACGTGCGCGTGCTGGTTCACGGGCTGAATCGCGTGCTAATGTCTTTTATGCACATTTTGTGCGTGTGATGTATTCATTTCAGTACTCTACTTGCTTTGAGAAGGGGAGTTCTGAGAAATGTCCTGTCAAGTTTGATGCTTTGGCCTACAAGACCTTTCTTTTGACACTCTTTTGAACGTTGGAGCTTTTTGTGATTGCGTATTCTTTCATGAAAGTAATGATTTTTCTCTTTTTGGTGTTTCATTCCTCGACAGCCTGAGGTGTTGGTGTTTACCGAGCCGCCCAACCGCAAACTCTTCTGTCTTCTCTGCAAGAATGTCTTCAAGGATCCAGTCATCACACAGTGCGGTGTAAGTCTCACGATGTGCCTTGACAAGTTTATTAAAAACTTAAGGGTTGAACAATTTGGTCAATGTATGCACTAAAAAAGCCAACGGGATCATCAAGGGGTTTCCTATCAAAAATCATCATTTCAAACCTCGTGTTTTCAAAATTCAGCATCCCAAATTTGTGAAAAATATAGCAGGCTTTCTATCCACTCTGGAAAACAGGGGAACCTTGAAAACAAGTTTTCAGTTTTTTCCAGTCGGGGAACACTCAGGGATTTGGAGAAAGTGTCAAAAATCAGGGGAAACTCAGGGAATTTGACAATGACCTTGAAGGAAATGTTTTGCCAGTTTGGTGGACCGGTATGTGCCTTTTGTAATCACTGATTGACTGGCTAATATTAATTTCAGTATTAGCTGCTTTGCTGCAACCGCCTCTTGACTTCCCAGTGAGCTTGTTAAAGTGAAAATACCAGTATATCTCATTGGATTTTGCAAATTTGTCGGGGAATTATCGGGGAATTCTGTTTCAATAAAAAGTGCTGGAACCATGATATAGACTTTTACATTTATTGTGTATGTAGGTCAAATATAAATTCAGTATTGGGTAGTTTGTGAATTTGTCTTGCAAGCATTCAGGCAACACGGTGTTTATAAAAATACATCGGTCATAGGCAAATCCAGTTTGAATTTGCATAACCCTAACGCAAATGTCATCTTATGAATAGGTCAAACATACATTGTTGTACATGATTAAGGTTTATATACATGTACATGTACATGTGGTAAGTAAGTTGTTTTTGGATATGGCAGGATAGCTTGTAAAGGATCGTGCATACCAAAAATGGCTGAATTAAAAGCTTTCTAGATATTTGGATAAAGAACACGGCACACACATCTTAAAATCTATCAAAAGTTTCTACAGGGAAGTAAAGTACATGTAAGCAATTTAGAATGTGACAGATTAGCCCAAGGGTACAATGTGATCTGTCTAAAGGAAAAATAGATGAAACTAACAAGTCTGAATAAGTTAGCTCTCAACACCTGGAAGTAAAGAAACATGGAAAATACAGAAATCTATCATCAAGCCACATACAGGCGCGCAAGGAGACCTATTGTATGCACTCTTGGGTATACATGAAAGGTGTATGTGATATGCCTCGCAGCACATGTAGATGGCGAAGCCAGACATATCATAGCTCGGATGCCCGGAATGTACAGGAAGCAGCATTTTGGGTAGGAGTCACTGGAGATGTGCCCAGCGACGCCAACTACGTGTTGTGGGTTGACAGCAATTATAGCCAGTCTCCTGTACTCTTGTAGGATTCTGGTGAATAGGGACACGCCCTTGGCTATATGTTGGAACAAAGTGTATCTGTAGAGTTTAAAGGAACGTGTAGTTTAGTCAGGGGTCTCGTGTCTGTCCTTACATACGTGTACAACACACATGTACATGCTCTACACAAAATTCAAACAAACAAACAAACAAACAGGTAAACAAAACTATTTGTAAAGTTTACAATTGTACATGATTAAAAGTATGACATTAATTATAGGAATGATTTAAATTTCTGGGAATGGTACCTTAGGGGGAAATTCCCATAGGGTTGTGCACACAAATGTTCAAATTTTTATGACCCCTAAACCGCATTCTCCCATATCCTAACCCCAAAAATGTTGGTACATTTACGTTTTGGACCACATGCAATCATGGAATTGTGACATTAGGGAGACATTGAAATGCCTCTTTAATCTACCTTGTTTGCCAAGTACATAACTTATGACCAAAAAATGTCTCCTCAACGATACAATTTACAGGAATTATTAGATTCAAAGTGAAAATGTGTACGCATTTTGTTGTGGCTTGTTCATCATGTCATCACGTTCAGATTGTCCCCACCAATAACTGCTTCATGATATATCCTACAGCCACCTGATTCTAACGGCTCATGTTTATCCCATGAAATCGGGACTTCCTGTCATCGACTTAAAGGACGATCCACTCAAGGTTGACCACAAATAAAAATGATGTCAGTTACTTTTTATAAAACTCCAGATAATCTAATCTTGATCCCTTTCTTATCCCACAGCACACCTACTGTCGGTATTGTGTGACGTCCAGGCAATATGGTAAGTATGACGCTAGCTTAGTCAAGACGTTAGTCATAAATTAATTAGTGTACAAACAAGAGAAGGTTGTAACAGGGAAAGAGTAACATGGTATAGGCCTAATCTACAGACTCACAACAATTAAGGGTTAAATACATGTAACAAAGTACATTTACATACATTGTCTGTTCAATACGACTGTTGCCTCAGTCTGACAAATGTCTGATAGCAATTTCATCGTCATTTATTTATTATATTTTTTTAAGTTGTTGCTTTATTGTTTTAATTTCAACCGTCACCGCTCAAAATCTCCTAAATCCATGTATGGTTTCGCAGTAATTATGGAGAATTCGTGGAATCCTACTGAGGTAGAATGAAATTTATTTTGGCTTGATGTCCCTGTTCCGCCAGTATGTCCCAACTATGGCAATGGCCCAACTATAGTTGGGACAGTCCCAACTGTAGTTAAAGCCAAAAAAGAAAAGTCTCCGGTTTCTGGTATGCACGCGCGTCGCAGTAGCCATGCACGTCGGCAAAGTGAAAAAGTTTTTTTTTTCAATGAAAGATGATGTCTCAAAACCACCAAACTCACTAGTTTGACTGGAATCCTGCTGCTGCACAATTTTAACGTGTTTTTAGATTGGGTTATGGTCGAGAATAAGCTTTATGTGGCCTCTCTGGACTCCCATATATTTGCACTAAGTTTAGTCGGGCACCAAAAATCAGGTAAAAAAAAAAAGAAGCCGCGTCGCCGCACCACTTTTTGGGCAAGCTCCATACCAGAAACCGGAGACTTTTTTGGGGGGCCTTAGATCCTCCCAACTGTAGCTGGGATTGTCCTAACTATAAATGGGACAATGCTGTAGTCGGGTTGTAACCTTGTATGTTGTTCACATATGTTGTTCACATAAAAAAAAAAGCTTCTTTGGCAAGTTATACCTAGTTTCGACATGCATCCCTTCAACCGTATTTACTCCAAAAATAGAATTAATTTTTGGTCTTGTTCCAGTAAATGGGAAAATATTTTATAAAGTTAGAACCTAGAAAATAGAGTTAAACTTTTTGCACTTCACTTCTTTGCAAAGAAGAACACCTCAAACAACTTTTGAAAATGTAAACAATCCAGATTTATGGCTTCCGATATTCTGAAACGTTGCTAAATTTTCATTTCCTGTGGGTTTTTCGATGAATACCCTAAATGAAAATGCACGCTTTGCCCAGCTGTGAAAATTATCAGCTCGCAAATTTGTACAACCTGGGTTCGTGCGCAAAAAAAAAGAGAACAAAAACAAGAGGGTACAATCACGTGACGAGTGTGTGCGTGCGTGCAAGCATCTGAACCCATCAAATCCAGGAAGTGTTTAATTAATATTTTCCAGCGCGGCTTTCTTATTCACGGCGTTATCAGCGGAGCGTGCGTCTTAAGCAGGAACTCAGGTCGTGCCAAGATTGCTGGCTTACCTATCCTAGGAAGGATAGGATGGTTGGAGGTGGGACAGGGAGTTGAAATGTTTGTAAACCTTTTTTTTTTTTTCAATATATCCGTCCGTGAAAGCAAATGTTTGCGGGGTCAGTGCTGTAAGGGTTCTTTACATGTTGTCATGGCAAACAAAACTTACTTCAGCAATTGTGCTTTTGAAACTTGATTGTATAAAATCAAATGTATATCGGAAAATATATTTCTTATATAGAAATCATATAATGAGGATAAATGAGCAAATTAACTTTTAACATTTTGATCGAGTTTCCAGAAAATGTTTGTCGTTTGAATTTCATTTGACTGATTCTGGGAATAGCCTGGTTTGCCTAGAGTCTGTGGAATAGCTGCTTGCAAATAGCAAGGGTCTATGATATGCACGCAGATTCGGCAATTAATTATGCCAAAGAAGAGTAGAAGACTGTGTCTTGGCCTCCAGATTCTGACCATTCAGTGAGCGCCTTCTATCGGGTCTTCCATACCCTGTCTGCCTGTTGTATTACAAAAACGTGGAAGCCAATTGACCAATCAATAGCTCAGGCTGAATTTCTGCTCAAATTTCTAAAGTCGACTCGGACTGGCTGGTGTGCAGGATCGCATAAAATTTGCAAGCTCACATCAGAGGTTGTTGCGTATCTTGCAGGCTTTGTTGAACAACGGATGATACTCAGACTACATGTAGGTTTTGCCAATGTTGGTGTCAAAAAAACAAATTAAACTGAACTGAATTTGCATTTTTAGCTGAGGATTTCTTTTCTTTTTTTAATATGCTCCATTTACTCATAATATTATTGTTGGAAATGTGAAAATGTGGACATATTTTATCTATTTCATTTATTTTTTGATCCAATCAGAAAATGCTGACATTTTTGACAACTGGCAAAAAATCTAATCCATCATGACTGCAATATGGTCTATATTACCCATTTATGCTCCTGCATGGGTGGAGATATGCAATTTTAGTAAAGTGTCTTGCCTAAGAGCACAAACACCATGTTCCTTGTTACAGTTAGAGCCCACTTACTGAATCCTCACACATGAGTTGCTTCACAAACGTTTCCCACTTGTTACTGCTGACGCCATGCATAGTTATGCATTCAATCCATAATGTTTTTTTTTTGCCTGCCTATGGTTGCTTTGCACCTGACTGACTCACCGACTCAGTTACTGACTGTCATTTGTCAATTAGACTTGTTTGAGTCTCAGCATTGGCCCAAAAATTTGAAAAAGGATTACCCCGTAATGCCAATGAATGGGCTACATGTGGGCAATTCCACGGTTACTCACGTTACATTTTGATGTACTTTTGAGTTTCCTTGGGCTCTAATTACATGTACCTTACTGAAAAGGTTTATTAACTGTTATCCCCATGGTAGATAGAGTAGACCTAGACCTACCTAAGCACCAAAGATGACAACCAGAAAAATGTGTTATGTATGATAAACAAGATGCACAAAATTGGTTACCCGCATTACGAAAATGTACCGCGGAATTGCCCATATGGCCCATGTTATGGTTTTGTAATTTTTTTTGTGAACTTGTGAGGGGAGGCGCAATTCAGCCTCTGGCTGCAATGTCTCTTTTTTGTATGATTGAATAAATAAACCATGAATATAATATTGTGTACATGTAGGCCACATGCATGAAAAGGGTTTTAGTGAATACCCATTCCGACTTGATTGAATATATTTGTGTGTGCTCTAGGACCAGTTTTAGTAGCCTTGTATTTTATTTTCATTTTTTTGGCAGACACATGCCCAGTGGATGAAATGAAACTTGCCGTAGTGGTCAACAACATAGCAGTCAGTGAGCAGATTGGAGAGTTGTACATTCACTGTCGTAACGGCTGTAAGCCCTCTGGGACCGGCATTCAGGATGAATACGTAGTGGATCCAGATGGGTGCCCATGCACGATACGGGTCAACGAACGCAGGTGGGTTGGAAAATATCAAATCAATCTAGTTTTGCAACTTAAATAATTCTTAAACTGCCCAGTCTTGATATAAATTATGACAGATGGGTTGGCCAAGTCTACTGACCATGTTAGACAACAAAAAACTGTTTAGATATAACACTTATATTTTTAAATTTTTTATTTCCAATTTCAAATCGGAGGTCACTTTTTTCCCCACATGTACATATGTAGTTTCTCTCTCATTGAAAGTTGTTTTTGTTTTTTGAGTTGAATTTCATGTGGAGTTTATTTAAATTATTGATACTTAAGGGTCGGCATATTTATGGAGATTTGAAAAAGACTGACTTGAAATGACTCGAGACATTTATTGTTGACTCATTTTGTGAACCATTGAAACCTTAAACATGTCTTCTGAAATCCAGGGCCTAACCTACCCTAGGGCTCAAGACTTCAGGCATTTTTTTCCAGTTTTGTAGTGTACTCAGGCGCGGTTCTAGAGCCAATATTTTGGGGGGGCTAGCAGGGTGGATACAGAATTTTTTCAGGGAGGCGTGCTGAAATGTAGACCTGTTATTTTCTCCAGACACTTAGGCCTCCGAAAATCAATAGGTGAGGAGCGCCAATAAAATCCTAAAATCATTCACACTATATTAACTACAAATATGCACCCTTGTCACGACTATTTCTTTAGGGGGAGACCGTTCGCATGTACATGTACATACAATGTATGTACATCACAATCCTTCTTTTTGCTAATACAATTATTTTTTTTTACGGAATTTTTTTTGGGGGTATTTGGGGGGGGGGGCTAGACAAAATTTTGGGGGGGCTAAAGCCCCCCCCCCCAGCCCCCCCGTAGAACTGCGCCTGAGTGTACTGGCATGGAATTGAACATGTTCAAGTCTTTGTGAGGTCTGGATGCTCCTACAACACCGTTGACTACCTTCCACTAGTTTGTAGTGGGATGTAACAAGTACAGATGTAACAATGTAACAGTTCGTGTTCAGTAGAGTTATTTAAAAAAAAACCTAGAGCGCTCACTCGCTATACTTTGTACGGTACATGCACATGCAGACGTGCCGACAAGGGTTTATGGTGGCCATTTCTTAAAGGGAAAATACAACATTTGCAAACATCAAAAAATAAAACTACCAAATCATTTTGAAATACCTTGCTGGACTATTAGTGAATGACAGTGTAAAGCATCCTGTAAAATCATGGCACCTGGTTTACTGTCATTTTCAAGAAAAGTGGTATTTTTGTATCAATTTCCAACGCTGATCGGCCGATCAGCGTTGGAAAAAACTGGCTTTTTTCAAATACTGGCCCCAATTGACCATCGCACTTGTTTGCAATCGATTACAAACCTATGAACGGGTACGAGCCAGCTAGACTGGTTCCCTGACCTTACAATTCCCCAATGTATGTAAACTGCTCAGTTTCTTCTTATATGGAGTCAGGGAACCAGACTACAGGAAAATGAATGTTTTTCTTGGTTTTTATAGCATTTTCGAACCCAAAACCTCAAAAAAGTCAGTTTAACTATATTTGCTATATATTTCCAACCCCCCAATTCCATCCATTTCTGAAAATTACAGCAAAAGCAATTGATGTATATTCCCTTTAATTGGCAAAAAAAAGCAGAGAGTTATAATTAGAACACGGCACGATTGTGAAACACCCAGATCGTGTGCCAACCTTCAGCCTGTACGTACCAAGAGCTATGCTTAGAAAGAATGCAAGAAATGTCCGGCTGCCGCGCATCCGTTTCGGCAGGTCCGCGTACAGCGAGTGCGCTCTCTATTTTTTTAAATATAATTCTGTGGTGTAGGCATAGCAAGCTGTGCTATTGTCTCACTGTCTTTGTGCATTAAACAATTATTCCACATCAATTAATACAGGATATGGACATGTAATCCTAGGAGTCAACAAACACATTAAGACATCCTCAACTCGGGATTTAGCCGACCTCCAGCCGTCAACGTCGCGGCCGATTGGTGGAAGTTATTAGTGGCTGTTCTGATTATCTATGCACCTGGATCCTGGGGGGGGGGGGGGGGGGGGGGGGAGGGAGAGGGGTCAAGGAGACCTGCCTACTTTTTAAAAAATCCTTGAAAGGCCTGGACTTTAAAGCTTTAATGCAACCAGGTTTCCACCATAGAGCTATATTAAATTACTAGAGTGCTAACTGGATGTACAAAGTAATGCCTGATTGGCGCATCCATGTTTGTGCACAAACCTATAGAAAAACTTGAAATTTTGTACGGCTTTTGTGAGGCTATTTGCCCATCTGCATTTGTATTCCATACTGGTGCGTCATCAAAGCCGATACACCAAAAACTGAAAAGCACGATCATCAAAATGAGCATTTCATTTTGCTCTACGCAAACAGCCATCAGCGCAACCCTCCGCTGCAGATGCTTTTCGCTGTGACGTTTTGAACTGTCATGACGCACTTACATGTAAGTTGTTTGCGTATCTTCTACATGCGTGTTGCATTTAGAGTACACTTTTAAAATTCAATCCATCTATTTTGACTATGTTCTACAAACATGCACATAAATTCAAAATGTCTGCACCCAGAGCGGCTTCAAAGCATCTCCGCGTGCAAGAATGAGGAATTAGCGCTCTAGTAATTTAATATAGCTCTATGGTTACCACACAGCATATCATGCAATGAACAAGTGTCTGTGGGTAGTTTTCTGCTATTTTGGTTAACTATGCAATTTTGGTTAACTATGCGATGTACATGTACATGTACATGTACGTGTACATGTACATGTACATCTCCTTGAAATTGGGACCTCAAAGGAAACAGAAGACATCCGAAGAGAGTAAAGTGACCTCTACTTGTCAGCGTGTGGCCCCAAGAGGCTGGAAGTGGCTAATCGCCGGTGCTGAGTGCAAACCGTACCTGAACCCCAGCAAGGAAATCTGTCAGGAGGCTAGTCCACCGTCCGAGGGGAAAAGATTGTCCAAGCAGGAGGTGGACTTCAGAGATTGAGAGCCCTCTGTCAGGGGTTGACAGAGTTTCTCAAGGATGGAGGTCGTGTGCTCTTTGCACCTTAAATTATAATCGATTCTATTGGTCGGTTTTTGTTGATACGATGAAAAACATTTTCTCAACTGGAAAACGTGACTAGAGTTCTCGCAACGGTGGACTGCAGGTAATGGTTTTCCTAGCAGTTGTTGTGATCTTTCCTCCTCATTGGGATCCGTAAAAATACAGAAATCTAAAAAAACAACCTAAAAACGAAGGGAGATGGCGAAAAGTGACAGGTGCCCCCAAACCTTGGTCCCTGAAGATGCTTTGTGGTCTGTGGAGATTTAGGATGGGAGAGCATTAACGTTGGAGGTCAATCTTGGACTTGTGAATTGATGGTTTCCCATTGATTAATCACCAAAAGCGGAAAGAATATGTAAAACATTTGTAGGTCATTAGCTTACTGTACTTCATATTGAAAACTCAGTTAGTGATCTTGCATCTTGTATTAGTCTAGAATGTACATATACATGCACATTACATTGCACAGGCTTTTTTTTGGGGGGGGGGGGTTTACATATTATATGTAAAGTTGTAAAAATAAGGTCCTAAAAATGACAAAATAGAACAACAAAATGAGAACAAAACAAGAACAAAAATTGTAGCAGAATTCTTCTCAAAGTCCATTTTGCCTTTGAGAAAGATTCTGCCATTCTGTCCAAAAACATTGGCCCCTTCTGTAGCCCATGAGTTCCCCTACCACCCCTGAACCACACTACCTGTTACCCCCTTATACCACCCCAAACTACCCTGCCTGTTACCCCCTTATACCACCCCAAACCACTTTGCCTGTTACCCCCTTATACCACCCCAAACTACCCTGCCTGTTACCCCCTTATACCACCCCAAACTACCCTGCCTGTTACCCCCTTATACCACCCCAAACCACTTTGCCTGTTACCCCCTTATACCACCCCAAACCACCCTGCCTGTTACCCCTTATACCACCCCAAACCACCCTGCCTGTAACCCCCTTATACCACCCCAAACCACCCTGCCTGTAACCCCCTTATACCACCCCAAACCACCCTGCCTGTTACTCCCTGTAACGCCACAAACTGCTCAAGCACTCGATGGTTTTATGGTTTCATCAGGGAATGAATACAATGTAATACAATGTAATACAATGCAGTACTTTTTACTCTGGCTGATTCTTTTTAGGGCCACTCCCTTCTTTCCCCAAATTTGCCTAGAATTAATGGCAAGTTCATTAACACATATACCTCTTTTGTGCAATTGTCACAAACCATCCACAAATAGAAAGAGGTCACTGCACTTCATGTTAGGAGTCAGAATGCGTCAATTTTTAGCATTCTTGGCCACGATGTGATGACATTCCAACCACACCCAATCAGTCAACTCCTGAGGTTAGTGAGAGCTGATCGTTTAAGTCGTTGCCTCATCTACACCTAGCGGCCATAGGGCTTGCAGCTGTAGCGTGATGATTTGTGACGAAAAGAGAAATGGGGAGGTGCATTTGCGTAAGCGATTTTGGACTTAAGTGGCTACACGGATGCTTCTGTAGGCTTGAAGGACACTTTTTCAACAAAACAACTGGAATTGTAAAGCTGATTGTTTTGATAGTTCCACTTTTTTCTATAAACTATTCTACAAAAAATGCTTATAGTTATGGTTATGGTTCAGATTATGGTTAGATGAAAGGTTAAGGTTCTGAAAAGTGTTTTGGTTAAATCTAAAATCAAGATTGTATCATTAGTAATCTCTTGAACCAAGATTGCATCACTCGTAATGTCTTGAACCAAGACTGCATCACTCGTAATGTCTTGAACCAAAATTGCATCACTAGTAATGTTATAAACCAAGATTGCATCACTATTAACTTCTTGAACTAAGACTACACATCTTTAAGGATGCAAGCCAAGTAGCATGTGACTTGACCGAACCATTTGATGACTTCCAAACTTGATCTATCCAGAGAAAGGATTCAGCATGGCCAGGAAGACTCCCGATACTGTCCTGTTTAGTCTTGTTTGATAACCAACATGGATCTTCAAGACACTGTCATTTTGTCCGTGATGGATTAAATTTGATAGTTTGTAGATTTGTGATGTGTTTTGGCATTAACCATGCAGTCACTCCGGACAAATCAATTGCGATCACTTTCCTGCTAAGTTTGTTCTTTCCGTGCAAATAGTGGTCTGTGTAGTATTCAGTGTTTCCGGTTTCAGAAAAATATCTCAAATGTCTGACTGGGAGTATAGTGGCGATGAAAAAGTGTTACTCGTTATTAGAAGTCATAGTCTGGTTGTAATTTGTTCAAATTATGCATTTCAAACGTGACTCTCTTCAAAACTGTTAATCTTTACCTTTGGGGTAGGAGGAACCTGTAGTACATGTACACACGTGAAAACCACGTTTAGTTTACCTTTCAAATGTCCATTCATCCACCAAAAATCCACTAAACCACACTGACAAATATTGCAGTATTCAGCAAATTTACTCCATAATGTTATTAATTCCAAAATTATCAAAACATGCAACACACTGAAAAATTTCCTAAACTTTGTGGCAATTTTCTGGCCCTTCGCAACATTAGTCATTGGCTTTGAGTCCAACATGAGTGAGAAATGGGTTCTTTTTTTGTCAAAAGCTTTCAAAAGACACTGAGTGTTCAGTGCTTTTAATCATAACATCATTAAGCGTGAAAGCAGTATAGACTCGTTAGTTCCTGTACTGCCCAAAAGCACCCTGCCTGTTACTTTCTATACTGCCCCAAACTTGTGCCAGGATGCTAGGATTTTAGGGTTTTATCAAGGAGTGTGCAATACAAGTTCTAAAGGGTGGACAGTTACTTAGTCAATTGGATGTTTCAAGCTTGAGTCTGGAATTCTTTTGGTCTGTGCATCCTTCCCTTCAGGCAATTGGACCCAACCTCCTTCTTTGTCATCTAGTATCCTGTTCAGTTTACAGCAGACCCAAATTGTTAATTAGCGACGATCCCCCCTTCCCTGCATACTCAGTGCCCCCACAAATCCATCAATGACAGTTGCGGTAACTTGAAGATAACGCAGACATTCAAGGGAGGATCATCTTCAAATTGATGCCCCAGGCCCCACGGGACATCTCATCACCATCATGAGAAAAAAAAACCTCCAATGTGCCAGCGATAGGGTTACATTGTTGTCATAGACCACACATTGCCTGAGCGCGGAGGAAGTTCTATTATCAAGTCGTGATTGGATGTCAAGATGTCATGCTTCAAAGACGTCACTCGAAGCAATAGAACTAAGGAGATTCAGTTCAATTACTTGTAATAGTGTGGAGAGAGATCCCCCGTGTCACGGAGGTCATTAAAAATCCTGCTTAATTCATGATTGTACGTACATTGCTTTTCACATACCTGCCTGTTTTTAAGTACGGTGCATGTACCCGCTCAATGGTCACAAAGGGGGGAACCAGTGGGGGAGGGGGGGGGGGGACAGTCAAATGCATTAACCGCAGAGCCTGACGCTGATACTGAAACGCTACTGATTTGTGCACACTCAGAATACAATAAGTCGTGCGTACTTCACGCAACAGGCACCTGGACCATCACACGCATGCATTGTGCCCCTCCCACTACACCAGCTTGAAGTGGACTCCATGTGACGTGAACGAACGTTCACGTCATGGACTTGGATCCACGATCTGCAGACTTGCCCCAAATCATCTAGACGTTGTTTTATGAGGCCAAGAGGCCACTGTACTTGTGGATTTTCTTTAAAAAAAAATAAGGCTACCAATTTCCGTGGCAACACTCATAGTTTCTAACCGGATAGACCCACGACACGTACTCTGTCAAGTGAATTAAAACTGTCCAGCAGAAACGATCTTGGAAGGGGATTAACAAGTTTGGTTCCTGTGGGTGACGCCAGGGTTTCGATAATGTCGCCTCCTGAAAAGAGAAAGATGTCCATGAGGCCACGAACGCAGTCATCGTTTGGACACTTGATTACCAATTTTGACCCTCGGCAATTAAACCAGCGTGTTTATTACGGAATTAATTGGTTTGTTAATCAAGTCCCGCCTCACGATTGTGACTCATCTTTATTCAGGGTGGCAACAGGACACAGCTAAGTAAGCAGATTTTAACGTGATTTACTTAGAGGTATTCCCACTGATCTCTCACTAAAATGAAGGTATTAATGACATTTTGACAATGTAATTGTTTGAGAATTGAGTCACAGAATCCTAAGAATTAACCAGGGATAAATTGCCTTGTGAATCTAATGCAGTGGGCGAGGTTTTTTTGATGAGTCTGTACCACAGCAATTTGAGAAGCTGGCATTTGTAGATTTCTCCTGAACATGGTCAGTTATGCTTTATGTTGGACTAGTTTCCTTCTCACTTGTCTCAGGTTTACCCTCAAAGATGTAGCGATTTCTCAGTCTCGCTATCCGTAACAGATGCATGCATCTCAGGGAGGTTGACTTTTTTGTGCTAGTGATTGAGAAGATGCAAAAATGCCTGAATTCAAAATTCTGAAAATCTACAACTTATTGCTTGTGCGAAATTGCAGCATGAACTGTGATGATCTTCAAACAGTAAAAGTTAGCTTGCACCTGCACTACTCTTGTGACAGCTTTTCAAAGCTACTATCTTCACTTTAATGTGTGAACCATCATTGTGTCTAATTGTACAACATTTGTTATTGTGCAGTCACATGACTTATGTTCTTCTTATCAAGGGCTGACCTGCTAATGGAGTTCAACGCAACAAGAGGCCGACCAAAAAAGAGCTTTTGGGGTCTTACTCTCCTTACAATTTCTTTTTCTGTTCCAGGATTGCAGCAGGTTTTCCAGCAAAGTGCCGTTAAGCTTACAGCGTACAAGCAGTTGTAGTAACTGGAGAACTGTCTGCTGAATATTCATGTATGTAAATGATGCTGACACTGCTCTTTCTTTTCTATTGGTTGATTGCACGTTGCAGGGAGCATGAGATGGAATGTAGCTACGCGCCAGTCCAGTGCCCAAACAATCCAGACTGCCCCAAGATCCTGAAAATGGTAAGTTATTGTCATAAATGTGGTCATTGAAAGCTCCTTGGTGGATATTATATTTGTCTTGTGAAATAAGTGGAACTCTCAACTCTGCCAACAAAGATGACAGAAAGATGGAGATGACATTTCATGTACATGTAACTTGAAGAAAGACTTCTAAGTGTGGTTAGTTTCACTCTGAAGCAGGCATTTCATGAAAATCCATTTTCAAGGAAGGCTTCATCTTAAGTAATCGAATCCAGTGGTTTCCTATCCGTCAACATGCATTTTTGTCACTCGGTGAAGCTGAATTTCAACTTTTAGTGAAGTACATGTATGTCATAATCACAAAAAGTAAAGCACGCTATGGAGAACTTATCGGCTTGGTTAATGTGGTCATTGTGTCAATTCAAAACCAACATTCGATGCAATTTCCTAATGAATCACTTCATCTTCAAATGAAACATAGTTTCCAATCTAAACATGGACACATTTTAAGTTGGGAAGGTGTGTGGAAATAAAGGGTTTGCCAAAGTATGGATTCAGATTATTGCAAATTCTCAAGAGTAGTACATCTTGAGAAAGCATGCATTATCTCCCAAGAAGCTGACTACCCCCCCCCATGGCAACAAGACGCCCTTCACAATTCAGTATGCATTTGACCAACTGGTGATCACTCACACTACATTCAAAAAGATCCGGTTGTGTCACATAATATGCTTCTTTAACTAGTCCTTAGCCTCAAACCTCTAATGGCTACTTATTGAAATCTTGAAATACATGGATTTTTGCACGACAGAGTTTGTCCCATTCAAATTTTGTTCAATCTGAACACATGCACTAGTTCTGATTCATAATGGCAGAGTGCATAAGACATATTTTAAACTTTCAAAACCGATATTACTTTGCAGGAGAGAAGCTCTCCTGAACACATGTACAGTACAAAAATGGTAAGGATCAGAAATCATTCATCGAATAAATTTTGTTCTTCACATGTCATCTCTTGTAGAATCTGGAAGCTCATCTTCAGAATTGTAACCTGTGCAAGTGTGACCACCACAAGTTTGGCTGCCCGTTTGTCGGCACCCAGGAAGAAGTCTCAGACCACCGAGAAGACTGTAGTTACGAGGGAATCAAAGACTACTTACAGACCTCCTCAGAGAAGATGCGAGAACTCCAAGCAACCATTGTCCAGAAGGACCAGGAGATTGGCTTCTTACGCTCCATGTTGGGCAAGCTCAGCGAGAGGGTCGACAGGTTGGAAAAATCCATGGAGCTCAAAATTAGTAAGTCCAGATTTTTTTCCCATTTGTACATGTATGCTCTTAGTGTTTTGATTTCAGTCAGTCTGTTTTTAATTTAGCATAACGCCATCATTTTTGACTTCAGAACAACAATTTTCAACGTTTATGGAAACTTTTGGATACAGTTTGGACCCAGTATTGCTTTGGTGGCAGTAGAATTCTTTGTTACACGTATCACCATGCTGTGCTTACAGGGCTTGTCGTGAAATTCTTCCCTTGACCATAAGGACAGAATCTTTGCGTCTGCGTAAGCCATGGGTCATTCTATAAATCAGGGGTTCGCTTCTTTTCCTATACCTGTTACATCTGACATCTACCGGTATGAGTTCATAATTATGATGCACTCATTAATACAGTCGTCCTCCAAGAGTGATTATAAAAAAGCAAACCAACTACCCAACGAATAAAAATCATTTGAAGTCATTCTTAATGATGCTTGAATGGCAAATTACAGAGTACCAAGGTAACAGGGACAGGAAAAAATGTCACGCTTTGGACAATAAATTTACATAAGGACTCGTATCCCTTACCAACTTTTTAACCCTTACTCTCTGAGGGTAGTTTACTGCATGTCAGTTGGTTATGCCAATGCCCTCCAGCTGCAGTTTATTGGAGGATACTTTGATGTAGCAGTGAAGGCTCCAATTGGCAGGAGTTGGAGGCCCTGGAGGGTGCCTGATACTGACCAGCTGGGGGCACTCACTTTGTTATCAGAGGACTCTCATTGTTCTCTGTGGCATGTATTGGAGTGCCTGTCCAGTTACCCTTGAAATGACATGGCAGATATTGGAGGGCCATGCAAAAAAACATAGGAGATTTTCTTGAGGCACATAATGGCATGCGTTGGAGGGTCTAGTAGGGTAAGGGTTAATCACACTATTTTATTTTTAAAGCAGACATTTTTAACACACATTGTTCGCTTAAAGCTATATGCAGCAAGAGCCATGACATTGGTTCCTCATACTTCCATTTCAACTTAAACAGCTTCAGCTTGGGCCATTATCAGCATCCAGGCCTGAGCCGATTTTAAACAGATTTGTTGAAAACCAGCCAAGCACATATTTATTCCCTTATTAATTTTGTGGAATTTACAAGAAACTGCCCTGAATTGGATTCAGATGATGTAGAAAAATTCCTCGGCTGAAATTAAACTTCATTAAGTGAGCAGCTCTGCAAGTCCCCACTGCTCTCGCTCAGAATGCTGGGAAGGCTTCAGCACCCTGGCATGCTACACAAACATTTGCGTGCCAAACCTACCGAGGGGAAGTCGCACTAATAGATTGAGACCTGCTGAAAGTCGGACTGGATTAACTTCCCAGAGCTCCTAGAAAGTCGCGGGGATGGTTTAATTACACCACAGCCACATTACCTATTAAGAGAGAGAAAAAGAGAGGAAGAAAAAAAGTACGAACAATCGTGAGTCAGTTAAAATGCCGAACGGCTTTCCCTGGGTTCAGAAAAAGGTCTCTCTGCTAAAGCAATTTACCCTATCACATTATCACAACTTTCGGATTAGTGATGGTGGCACCTAGATTTCAGCCTCTAACTCGAAACAACCTCCCTCCCCTCCCCCTTCTTGGTGTAAATCGTGCTCGGGGCTCAGTTCAGGATCATTTTTTAGCCCGTACTGGTTCCAAAGCTCATTTCCGATGGACTTTCCGGGCCTGTCAAGCCGCGGAATCACCCTGGAGCCAAGAGCGTGGGGAGGCCTGCACGCGATCCACGGAACCCAGCAGCATTTGAGGAGGAGGTGCTGCCATTCCTAATTTGAATCCTCAGCCCCTTCTAAAAAAAAAAAGCACTTCCAAGAATTTAAGGCCTGATCTGCCTGTCCGCAAACCCAGGAGTCTACTGTAACGCCCACCCAACTACATGTATTTCCCCTTTGATTTTATCTGATTTTTTAATTGTGCCTAGCCCTGCAATTTGCTTGCGCCGCGACAGGACCATCGGCATCAAGCAGGAAGTGATGCGCAAGTCACAAATGCGCAAGTCACAAAACTGAGAAACCATCTTATGATTGTTGTGGAAGAAGCGGCATCACAAAAAGAAAAAAAAATCGCAACCATGCTCATGTCACACACATCCCGACGATGATTCCACGGCCCAGACATGATCTTGTGACTTCCTCAAAATGGCGGTGCATGGGTTCATATCAATCAAACGATCTTCCCTGGCCACGTCTGTTCATTTGGGTTTTTTTTGCTGCATGCTGATTGGCTATACATAAAATAAGATTATTCAGATGCATGCGTGACGTTGTAACTTCATACAGGTCGACTGCGATTGATTCCTGCTTGTCAGGGAAAACGTTCCGTCGTGGTGCAGAAGTTGAAATATTTCTACCCTTGTGACTATTGATAATATTTGAGCACTGACTGATGCTGATCGTCTTAATATTGCGGCAGTTACACTCAGGTGGCAAAAAAAATCGGCGACCGATATGTTCCAGACGGTCGTAGCTCAGTCACCAACTGTGTCATCACAAGTTGGATAAATACGGTACAAGTGTAGTTGGGTAAAGGCTGGTTCATGCTTGACGCAAATGCATACGAAGCAAATTTGACGTCAAGAAACCTTTCGCTGTGAAAAGTTAAAATGTGTTCAGTTTTTGTGGATTGCAGCACGAATACTTGCCATGACGTCACAAATTTGCGTTCCTGTTTGTTTTCGCACCAAGTTTGAACTGGCCTTAACAGAGCAAGTAGTGTATGGTTCTTAGTCAAATCGGGATTTTTTGTATGAAACAGTTCCTTTTCTCTATCATTTCACAGTTTGAGCAGATCTAATTGTCAATGAACGTTTGACATTTTTTTTGGAGAGTGCCTTGAACACTTTAAATGGGAAGGAAAAGGTTGATTCCCTTTTTAACATTCTCTGTTTTGTGTAAGTGGTTCAAGGTCATAACACTCTATGTTACACATCAGAATGGATCTAGGCAAGCATCAGTCGTCAGCGTCATACACGTCAAATCACACATCCTAGGGTGGCGACAGAAATGTAAGAAGAAAACTAAGACGGAAAGGGCTCATTTGAAGATGCCCATTTCATGTCTTGAAAACACTGAGGCATCTTTCCTTGGAATCCTGTAATGGATGGGTTGTTATCTCTGCGATGGGTAATCTACAAATGTCAGTAATTGTGGTAATTGTCAGTTCCTCCGCACATCTTCACTACATGACGTGAGTCAAGGTCATCAGGCCGCTCTCGCAAACGTTCTCCTGACTTATTACGCGATCGTTTGACTGATGTGAGCTGTCGCAGTAAAACCAGGTTGCATCTTCTGACTAATGCCCGAAAATCATTAGTCAGTTTTGCCACCTGTGTTTTTTTGTTTTGTTTCGTTCAAAGTAAAATTTCATTTCCCCTGCATTGCAAATCACTTATCTTTGATGTGCACGAGTTTCTCTTTCATGGGGAAAAAAATATTGTCTGCAAAAGGTCAAAGGAAGAAGTCTCTTAACTGGAATCCAACCATTAGTATACACATTATGCTTACGGTATGTAGATTCACCATCCCTGGCGCTTGTTATTTTCTAATTTTGTGAATCGGGACAGCCCGTCTTCAGAAATCTCAGTGCCCCCGCATGTGAAACGCTACAATGGAGTTTGAGATTTCAATAGAAACAAAGAACAATAGTAAGGAAGTACATGTATTTAAAGTTGGACAATAACGGTACTCCATAACTACTCATGCGCTCACAGTGTGCCCCTCCCACCCACAGACTTACATTTACTCATATGTACAGTACATGTACGTGTAGTCACGATTCACGAAGCACTGTTCATTCACCGAGTCTGTAGTCCGCTTTTAAAGTACCAAGATGGTGTGGTTGCACTTTCTTGCAGTGTCAGATTACAGCGATAAACATGTCCAATAGTGACACAGCATTTCAACTCCACGATTTATTACAGCTGTGTTTAGTCACGTTAAATCGATTTCAGCCGCGCGCTCCACAAACTGATATTCCACTATAAAGTTTGCAACATGAAGCAAAGATTATGGACTGCCTACGGGAGTACCCTTTCAATTAAGAAAATGACTGAGTGCTGACACTGTGCAATCTTGCTTTGCCCAGGTTGGTGAGCAATGCTCGTAAATCAGGGAGACGTTCCCATTGATGTCCATGTAAAAAAAATCGGCATAGCCCATCGGCTGTCAGAAGTGGAGTCAGCATTACCACTCCAAGAACAATAGATTTGTAAAGAAAGATATCTAACTTAATTGACATAACACTTTTTTATTCTTTTGTATTGAAAAACAAAATTAAAATTAGAACTAAGTGTATTTCATATATATTTTCTGTTGAAAAAAATAACTGTTTTGTGTATACAACATTTGCAAACATCAAAACAAAACTACCAAATTATCACGAAATACCTTACTGTATTATTTGTGAATGACAGTCTAAAGCATCCTGTAAAATCATGGCACCTGGTGTGCTGAAATTTCAAGAAAGTGGTACCCTTCTTTTATATACTACTCCCATTTTATCATGTTTAGTCCGCATTTTGTTGCAATCGATTAGTTACCTGTGAATGGGTACAAGCCAGCTAGACTGGTTCCCTAACATGTACAATTCCCCGACATCTAGACTGCTCCGTTCCATCTTAAGTGGGGTCAGGGAACCAGACTACAAGAACACGATTGTTTTTCTTGGGGTTTCCAGCATCTACGAACCCAAAACGTCAAACAAGTCAAGTGTAAAAATATTTGAGAATACTAACCCCCAGATGCATCCATTTCTGAAAATAACAGCAAAGGATACGTAATTGTATTCCTTTTAAGACGGTTCTATTTTAGTTGTTTTTTTATGATGGGAGTGGTTGAGACTGGTTCCCTCCCAACATTTGAATGGAAGGATCCGGAACCAGCTCTACACTTTCTTAGCTCGGAATGGCCACCGAGCTATCCACATGATTTACATGGAAATCTGTCTATGTCCTTCACAAACTGTCATGAGAGCGCCTGTCGCCCTCTA